GACACACTGCCCTGTAAGGTGGTGAGCTCCCTGTCCTTTCAGGTGTGTAAGCAGAGATGCTGAAAAGGGGATTGAAGAGCAGGGGAGCAGGTGGTCTCGCTGGCTTTCTGACGCCGAGGTTCGAGAATCATTCTGACCCCTCCAACCTCCCACCCACCAAGTCAGCAAAGCGGCTGAAGCTCTGAGCGAGGCCTGGCCAGCGCCGGTGCAAGACAGGGGACAGGTACCTTGTTTTCCGAAGCCGAAGGTGGGAGCCACAGAAGGGGAGTGGAAGGGCAGGGAGGCAGAGGTGGCCTCAGGCCCAGCTGCACCCAGGCCGGGCAGTGCTAGCGCCCACCCCGGGCACCCAGACCCCTCCCGGGCTTGCAACTCCACCTGCGGAGGCTCTGCGGGAGGACAGGGCATAAAAGATCTGTCCCTTGTCCCTGCCCCCTGTTCCCGCCCCCGGAGTCCAGACACAGGCCAGTGCCACCAGCGTGCTCTCTCGTTCACGCGTGCGTGCAGCCGTCCAGCGGCTCCCAGCCTTTGAAGTAAAACCCCATCCTTCTGCCGGTCCCCCAGACCCCACGGCCTCCTCGCAGCCCCCTCTCTGCCCAGCTCGTCTCCGCTCTCTCCCCTCCCCCTTCCCGCATGGCATGCACGTTCCCCCCTCGGGGTCTGTGCCTGTGCTGTTCCCTCTGCCTGGAACGCGCTTTCCAGAGACGTCCCCAGGCAGGTCTCCCTCACTGTGCTCAGGTCTGTGCTGGAGAGGCCTTCCCTGGCCCCTTCCAGAAGGGCTGCCCTGCCTCTCCTGCCCCTCAGCCGGCGGTACTCGTCCTCTGGGCGTCTTTCGCCACCGGACATAGTATGTTGGTTTTTTATTGTCTGGCCTCTACCAGGATGTCCCCTCCGAGATGCTAGGAACCTGGGTCTCTTTGCTGCTGAGCCCCAGCAGCTGAAACAGGGCACCCACTATAGCTAGTGGGGCTCACCAATGTCTGCTGAATGGAGGAGGGGTCACCACGCGTCACCCCAGGGAACTCAAGGCTCGGTTTGCATTCAACTGTTGATCCCAATTGTCCTTTTTCCTTTGGTTACGTTAAGGAGATGCCGTCACCAACCACCCTGAACCAGACCAGGCCTCAGCATGAGAGCTAGGCCTGTGGCCGTGGCCTTGCTGTTAATGCTGAGCTCTCTCCAGGAGGAGCTCAGGGCTTGTGACGTACCCTGCACTGCATGTGGACGCATGTTTCCAGCTGAGCCTGCAAAGCGAATACCCACCATTCCCTCTTGAATATTCACTCCTCATCTGAGTAAATACCCCTGCCTCCCTTTGTTCGGGGATGCCATGACTCTGGAAATGATTCCGCGTGGCCTCCTATTTGCTGCAAATGTACCCACTTTGTGAGACACCTACTCTGGGGGAGACTGATTGAACTCGCCAGGAGGGACCCCTCTTCAGTGAGAGTAACAGAAGGATGGAGGGAATAAATGAACGAGCACTGTCTGTTGAGTATCTCCACGTGCCAGGCAGCACAGCCTGGTGGTTAGAGCACAGGCTCTGGACCCAGACAGCCTGGGTGAACTCCCCGCCCTGCTGCGTTTCCACAAATGGAGAGGGTGATAACAGTCTGCTCCCCATGGAGCTGTTTCCGGGATTAAATGAGTTCATTGATCTACAGTACTGTCAATGGTACTTGGCATACAATAAGTGCTCAACAACTGTTGGCTGCAGGCATTCAGTTGTGTTTAAAAAAGGTGCAGATCCTACCTTAGGAGGGCTGTCAGTCTAGTGGAGGGAGGCAGACATATCAAATAAAAGTTCCAACTTGGAACTTGAATTCTGGTGTTCCTGCAAACAACAGGAGTGTGGGCGTTCCTGCAAATAACAGGAGTGTGGGTGTTCCTGTAACCACAGGAGTGTGGGTGTTCTGGTAACAACAGGAGTGAGGTTGTTCCTGTAACAACAGGCGTGTGGGTGTTCCTGTAACAACAGGAGTGTGGGTGTTCCTGCCAAAAACAGGAGTGTGGGCGTTCCTGTAACAACAGGAGTGTGGGTGTTCCTGTAACAACAGGAGTGTGGGTGTTCCTGCCAAAAACAGGAGTGTGGGTGTTTCCATAACAACAGGAGTGTGGGCGTTCCTGTAACAACAGGCGTGTGGGCGTTCCTGTAACAACAGGAGTGTGGGCGTTCCTGTAACAACAGGCGTGTGGGCGTTCATGTAACAACAGGAGTGTGGGTGTTCCTGTAGCAATAGGAGTGTGGGCCTTACTGTAACAACAGGCGTGTGGGCGTTCCTGTAACAACAGGAGTGTGGGTGTTCCTGCAAACAACAGGAGTGTGGGTGTTCCTGCCAAAAACAGGAGTGTGGGCGTTCCTGTAACAACAGGAGTGTGGGCGTTCCTGTAACAACAGGAGTGTGGGCGTTCCTGTAACAACAGGAGTGTGGGCGTTCCTGCAAACAACAGGAGTGTGGGTGTTCCTGCAACAACAGGAGTGTGGGCGTTCCTATAACAACAGGCATGTGGGTGTTCCTGTAACAACAGGCGTGTGGGCGTTCCTGTAACAACAGGAGTGTGGGCTTCCTGTAACAACAGGAGTGTGGGTGTTCATGTAACAACAGGAGTGTGGGTGTTCCTGTAGCAATAGGAGTGTGGGCCTTACTGTAACAACAGGAGTGTGGGCTTCCTGTAACAACAGGAGTGTGGGTGTTCCTGTAACAATAGGAGTGTGGGTGTTCCTGTAACAACAGGAATGTAGTTGTTCCTGTAACAACAGGAGTGTGGGTGTTCCTGCCAAAAACAGGAGTGTGGGCATTCCTGTAACAACAGGAGTGTGGGCATTCCTGTAACAATAGGAGTGTGGGTGTTCCTGTAAACAACAGGAGTGTGGGTGTTCCTGTAACAATACGAGTGTGGGAGGCCTCATGAGGCAGAGGTCCCCACGGCCCAGGAGAGAAAAGCCCAGAAGGGCTTCATAACTTGCCTGAGGCCAAACAGCAAGTGAGTGGGAGCAGGTGTGGGATCCCAGGCCGTCCTGATTCAGTCTACGCCCTATACCACCTGGCCACATTGCCCTGGGCTGGATTTTATTTTATTTTCTTATCTTTTGGTGAGGAAGATTGGCCCTGAGCTAACATCTGTGCCAATCTTCCTCTATTTCGTATGCGAGACACTGCCACAGCGTGGCTTGATGAGTGGTGCGTAGATCCATGCCTGGGATCCGAACCTGCAAACCCCAGGCCACTGAAGTGGAGTGTGTGAACTTAAGTGCTATGCCACTGGGCCAGCCCAAGGATTTTATTTTTCATGAGCCTACCTCCCTTACCAGCTAGAGAGGACGGAGCTGGCACCTGCCGCTCAGGACCGGAGCATTCAGCAGAGTCCTATTCCTGGTGCCAGGCCGTGGCTCCCACAGGCACAGCCACGTGGAGGGAGGAGCTCGCTGTGCCCGTCTCTCTGAGCAAGAAGCTCCTGCCTGCGTATTTCTGGCAGGGCCCCCGGGAAGGGCTGGGCAGATGGGGGGGACAGCGTGGAATCAGCATTCTGAGGCACAAAGAGAGTAATCGCAGATAATTATGGTCCCCAAACTCCTCTCTGGCCAGAGGATGGGGACAGCCCATTGATGGGCCAGAACAACTAACGACGGTTCCCGGCTCAGAGGGGCGGCCGCCTCCACTGCCACTCTCATGGCCCCGTCCACCTCCACCCGAGGCCCCTGGGCTGGGCCGGGCCCCGCGGCGGGGCAGGGACTCCCAGGCCTCTGTGCACTCTGGGGCTGGGGCCTCTCCAGCTGTGGAAACACAGCCCCCTGCATGGCCGGCAGGGACCACCCCCAGCCCTGCTCCGCTGGGCAGCCAGGCTCAGATTCACCATGCAGCCCCGGGGTCCTCCCCGCCCTCCACACCCAGGCAGGGGAGGGGAGCAGGGGGTACTGCCACTTCTGGAGCACTCAGGGTGTGCCAGGAAATTGATCTGGTCCATAAGCTTGCTAACCCCTAGGACAACTTAGAAATCTCCACGTTACAGATGAGGAAACAGAGGCACAGAGAGGTTAAGTGACTTGCCCGAAGTCACACAGCTGGTGAGTCCAAGGGACCAGATTCAAATCCAGGTCTTTCTGACTCCAAATCCATGTTCTTCTCAGAATCCCAGACTCTGCAACATCCTTAAGGGTTAAGAAACGCTTATAGTACCTGGAAGGAGCAAAGAAGTCAAAGTGCAGAGTCTGAGCCCCATCTGGATGGTTTGAAATGGCTCAGCTCCTAATCACACATGGGAGAGTGTGGATGTTTGGACCAAGCGACCCCTACTGAGAGGAAGTAACTGCCAGGAAGGGCGGTCACTAGGCAAAGTGCACACGTGAGAGGTGGAATGGAGGGGCCGTGGTCCACTGTCACCTCCCAGAGGCAGAGCCAGCTTCTGAGATCAAGGACAGCATGGACGAGGGCAGAGGTGGGTGAGGGGGGACTGGCTCCTTTGCTGGAGGGGCACTGAACATGAATAAAAGGCCTCTAACCACCTCGCCCCCAGCTCAGGCCAGTCCAGCTGGCAGCCATGACCATCAGGGCCTCCGATCCCGCTTCCTCCCACGTCTTCTCCCGGGATCCTAACAAGCAGCGTATTTATACATGACGTTTAAAAATGGCTCCACGAACGCCGCCCCCTTTGAGCCACCTTTCTCCCTCCCATCCAGCCGCCTTCCCCACATTGTTCGAGCTATTTTCCTCCAAGTTGCCACACGCTCAGAGAACTGGGATGGGCTGGCTGGCTCAGAGGACAAGGAGACCAGCCACGGATGTGAGGACAATACAGAGCTCCCTGCTGGCTGGGGACCCTGGCTCAGGCGGGGAAGGCAGCCATTAGAAGGCCTGGGGGAGCCAAAGCGGAGGGACTCGTCCCAGGCTCGGGGGGGGGGGGGGGGGGGCGGCTGCTTCTGCCCAGGGTCTGGAGAGTTCTGGAAGCTCCGGGAACGGTACGTGCCTGGAGATGCTGGTGGGGATGCGGGTAGGGGCCTACTGTTGGTGTGGCCTCGGGGATGCCTGGAGCGACCTTGTGGGTTTAGACCAAAAGGGATGTCTTTCTTCTTCAGGGCCCCGCTTTGAGCTGTTCTGCAGCAGCGAAGAAGCAGGAAGAGGAAGAAAAAGTCAGCGTCCGTTAAGATTGAGTGTGGGTCCTGAAGAATGAGTTATAAAACGTACACATGATTGGCTCGTACTCAGGCCCAGAGAGCTCCAGACTCAGGATGAAAGAAAGGAAGGCCGGGAGGGAGGAGGAAGGAAGAGGGGACGGTGGGGTGGAGCGGGAGGCATCGTGCTTAGTATTTGCTGTCTTGTTTTCAAGAGAGCCATTTTCAAGTGGACCTCCTGGAAGCACTTTGAAGAGAAGTCACTGACCCTTCCAGCCAGCCTGGATGCTGTCCCTGACATGCACACCCGTAGGTGGCTAGGCTGTAGGATGCTGTGAGAGTGGGCACCGAGCAGCCACTTTGACATCAAGGAGAGGTGAGGACAGCAGGATCCCACAGGAGCCCCAGGCCCTAATCTAAGAAGAAGTCTCGCCCCCCCCAACTTTGAGGTCCTGGTGTGGGGTTGGCCAGGGGTGAGGACAACAGCCTGTGGCAGGTTGTCACATCGTCTGAGGAAGCTGAGCCCCAAATACCCCCATCCAGAGCTGGAGCAGATGACAGCCAGTGGCGAGGAGACAGGGCTAGGAGCATCCCCACCCAAAGATATGTCTCCCAGCCTCCTCCATAGCATCCCGCCCCCCCCCC